GGGGTGGGCGTGCTTCGGGGTGGGCCAGGCATACTCATGCACATGCATGGACCCCTGATGTACATGGGCAAATGGTGCTGGATTGTGAACTCCACATGGATATCGCCTTAAGGAATTGTCAGTTAACCTGCATGATATTTTCGCAAATTGCACATGGAAATGTAAAGAAACTTTACTCCTCTGGGAAAAAATGTAGGAAATAATAAAAATGTTGCCATATTGACTAAAAACAAATACATTGTGTATCTGGGTTTGTGTTACTTGCCTCCATCTTGTTTTGTTAGATGTGCATGAACAGTAATTAAAAAAAAATTGAAGGTAATGAGAATTGTAGAAAAACTTTTGCCTTACAGCTTCCTTGATTTTTTTTCCAATAGATTTTCACACTGTTAGCTATTTCTTATATGGCTGTGTGAGACATAAAGACTCGGGATTTTTCATTTACAGCAAAAGAGACCAAAAGTTGTTATATGGCTGTGTGAGACATAAAGACTCGTGGGATTTTTCATTTACAGCAAAAGAGAGACCAAAAGTTGTTTAGCACCTGTAAAACTAAACAGTTTTTATTTTTTGTACGCTTTTGTGTGTCCAAGCATACTTTCTGAAATGAATAGAGTGGCTGTGTGCACTGTGTTCATCTGAAGAAGTACGCTTGGACACATGAAAGGTTATGAAAAAAAAACTATTTAGTCTTATAGGTGCTACATGATTTTTGTTTTCTCTTTGGTACAGCAGACTAACATGGCTTCCTGCTAAATCATCTTTTCATCTACCGCAATTTGCGTTGTGTGTACTGTATAGAGTTGTCCTTAAAATAGCAGCAAGTAGTGAAGTCCTAGCACACATAAGTAGGGCTATGGGGCGGTATATAAGTCCAATAAATAAATAAATAAATATTAAAATAGCAACAAGTAGTAAAGTCCTAGCACACATGAAAATTATACGTGTGGACATAGTAGCCTTCCACTTATGTAAGAAGCTTCCTCACAAGAAAGGCTTGAGAACATCTTTCCCTTCTGACTAACAGTCTATCCCTAATCAGACAACACATTTTTGCAGAATTGAAGGCTTGGATCACACTTCTATTTTCCCCATTACCACACATTGATCATATCTTCTGGGAACATCAGCTGCAGACATTATAGATGTTTGCTGGGGGGGGCATGTCAAATGGGTGCAATCCTGCCCTTATTTGTTAATTTTATGCAGAATTATTGTCTAAATACAGTTAAAAGAGAGGATTTATTTGTAATTCCTGGGGCCCTCCTGCTTTGTGAACTTCCTTTGTAATCAAATATGTCATTTTTTCTTACGTTTATATTAACCTCATGTTTAATACTAATGTTTCTCATTTTTTTCTCTTTGGAATAGATTGCTTCCTATGTCCTGTCATAAATTTAAGCTCAATTTATTCAGTGTTTTTTTTCCCAATAAGTGAGTGGAAAAAAGTTTCAAAAATCAACCAGTTGATCTTACTCTCTTAGGTCCCAGAAGAGAAGAAAAAGGGTTGGATTCTACCAAATGCTTTTTAGAAACTGGAGAATACAAGTTTCCTTTCTCAGCTGAAAGAAGAATTGTCTAATCAAGACCAAACATGCAGAGCACTTCCAATTATCTCTGGCTTTTATCAGACATCCTAGGACAAGGAGCTACTGCAAATGTTTTCCGTGGAAGACACAAGGTTTGCGCAGAGACAAAAATGCTAGCAGTCAACTGAAAAAGCATTTGCATGATCACAAAACTGGACCCTTAAGGGTAGTCTTGTAAAATTATATGGAATCATTCCCCCCTGCATTCCAAGAAATGAATGTGCAGTGCATGGTACAACTCCTGGAAATGAAGCACTGAGAGGGTTGAATCATTCCCCCCTGCATTCCAAGAAATGCATGGTACAACTCCTGGAAATGAAGCAGTGAGAGGGTCTTGTTTCAGTTTTTGGTAAATGTGTGCCATCCCTTTGCTTAAAGATTGGCCAAATCCTGTTCCTTAGCACAGAAAATTGCACTAGAATAGGCCCATTGAATCAGTAGGGATTTAGTCAGGTTGATTCAAATGAGCCTGCTCTGTGACCTACTATACTAAAGTAAGTCAGAACTAGAGTAAGCCTATTTGAATCGATTGAATTTATGGAGAAGTTAACTCACCAAATCCCCATTGATTCAGTGGGCTTACTCTAGTGCTCCAGGGTTTTTGCTGTTGAAAATACAGTAAATGAGAAGACTGAAAAGTGCAATAATTCTGTCTCACTTTAGAAGGTCTAAAACCTGATTTTACTAATGAAAACAAATGAAGGTACTTTCCCACCCCTATGTTTGTTATTGGTGATTATGACACTCAAGCCTTTAGAAAATGTAATTTGCTTTCTGTCCAGAATCCTATTGCTTAGCTATATGAGTGTAAGTCCAACTGTCTAAATTGCAATAGTGAATTCCAACTAGTTAACAAAGAGCCAACTTCATCCCTCATTGTGTACCAATCACATAAGTTGATGACTTGTGAGCGGTGCCTGTTAAGTAGAGACTGTTCACCATTATGATTTATGCCATTGCACTTAACATTAACTTAATTAACGAATAGATTCTGGCCTCTGTTTTTTCCTCTTCTAGACAATTGTATATTAAGTATACTATATATTAAAATATAATTTTAAAGTACAGTGGTGCCCCGCATAGCGAGGTTAATCCGTTCCGGATTAACCTTCGCTATGGGAAAACATCGTAAAATGGATCCAAAAAACCCAAAGTTGAATGTGTTCCAAATGGGCCCAAAACTCACCGTTCTCTGATGTTTTCCCTTGTTCCGGCAGCCATCTTGGGCGTACCGGTGGCCATTTTGAGCATCCCGGTGGCCATTTTGGGTGTACCGGTGCCCATTTTTGTGTTCCGTTGGCCATCTTGGGTGTACTGGCAGCCATTTTGAGAGTCCTGGCGGCCATCTTGGGTGTACCAGCACCCATTTTTGTGTTCCGGCGGCCATTTTGGAACCGCTGAACAGCTGTTCCCCCAGCATAATGCGAGCATGCCCTCGCATTAGCGATGGGGAAATCCGCATCGCAATGTGGATTCATCGTTCAACGGTGCACTCGTTATACGAGGCACCACTGTAGTTTCATACCTATTATTATTAGCTGTTGAAAACCAAAGCACCTGCCCATGATTTTGTACCATAATTCCATGCATTTTTATTCAGAAGTAACCACTATGTTCAATGACTCTTAATCTCAAATGTTCATAATATTGCATATTTATTTCTTATAATTTTGTGAGATAGGAGAGAGGAGCAGGGTTTTTTTAATTGTGAAATTGATTTGGTTAAATGCTTCTGTTTCTTAAAATATTATCAATATTTGTTTTGCAGAAAACTGGAGACCTGTATGCTGTCAAAGTATTTAATAACTTCAGTTTCCTTAGGCCTGTTGATGTTCAAATGAGAGAGTTTGAAGTATTAAAGAAACTGAATCACAAGAACATTGTCAAATTATTTGCCATTGAAGAAGAGGTAATTAACATTCCTTGTGCTTGTAATTTTCTGAGGATTATTTTATAATGTCAATTTTATGTATGAAATTTCTTTAATTATATGATGAATTTCATAGCATATAAGCTATGTTTGAATATACAGTGGTGCCTCGCTTAGCAATTGCCTCGTTTAACAATGTATTCGCTTAGCAATGAGGTTTTCGGAGCAATTTTGCGCTCCGTTTAGCGATGTTCCCTCTGGGGAAATTTCACACGATTATTTTATAATGTCAATTTTATGTATGAAATTTCTTTAATTATATGATGAATTTCATAGCATATAAGCTATGTTTGAATATACAGTGGTGCCTCGCTTAGCAATTGCCTCGTTTAACAATGTATTCGCTTAGCAATGAGGTTTTCGGAGCAATTTTGCGCTCCGTTTAGCGATGTTCCCTCTGGGGAAATTTCACACAGCGATGTTCGGGACCATGCCTCGCTTAGCGATGACAGTTTAGGTCCCCTGTTTCGCTTAGCGATGTTCCGTTTTCGCTATTTTTAAAGTGTCTTAAAATGTTCAAAAACTGTTTTAAATGCTTGGCATCGTTAGTGCACCTTGTAAAACCTTTGCAGAATTAATTTGGCTTTGTTCTGACTTTTCGTTAATTTTTGGTGAATTCCCCCTTATTGGAATGCATTGAACTGTAGGTTTGACAGCAGTTCAATGCATTCCAGGGGGGGGGGAAATTCACCAAAAATTAACAAAGAGTCAGAACAAAGCCAAATTAAGTTTGCAAAGGTTTTACAAGGTGCACTAACGATCCCAAGCATTTAAAACAGTTTTTGAACATTTTAAGACACTTTAAAAATAGCAAAAACGGACATTGCAAAACCATTGGAATGCATTGAATAGGCTTCAATGCATTCCAATGGGGGAAACATTGTTTCGCTTAGCGATGTTTCCTATGGCGATTTTCGCTTAAGGACGGCAATCCGTTCCTATTGGAATGGATTAACCAGTTTTCAGTGCATTCCTATGGGAAATGGTGTTTCGCTTAGCGATGTTTTCCCATAGCGATGTTTTTTTGGGAACCAATTAACATTGTTAAGCGAGGCACCACTGTAATGGTTTATTTAGGGCAGGTGTGGGCAAAGTGTGCCCCCTGCAAGGGATTTTTAAAGGCCCTGAGACCCTCCAGAAATATATACAAATTTTAAAGGTATTGCGAATCAGTAGAGTGATCAGCTGCTGTAAATCAGTACTGCAGATTCCCAGCTATTTTTCTAGCTTCATGACAGCAATTGAGCGTTCAGTTTATCCTGCCTGATTTAGTAATTAAGCATGGTTTATCATTTTACTTGTTGCTTTTTTTTTTTGTTTTAATTGTACCTCTATTGTTTCACTTGTATAAGGTTGTTGTAAAATGGTTATTTCTTGGAACATGCCTACTTCCTTAGAGAGTATTATCTTTCTTTACATAATTCAGTAGTTACAGACGGTTGAGGCATCAGAGAAACAAAGAGATGCTAAGCTCTGCTGCATTGGCTTCTGTTTCTGCTTCTCACTGCTGCCTTGTTATACTAGAAGTAGAAAAGCAACAGTAATATTAAAATCTTGATTAACTACTGTCTTACATTATATAAATTAGATCACATTAAAGTTAATTTATTCCACATATCTGTTAAAATTATTATTTATCTCCCCCAGCAAGCTGGGAACTCATTTTACCGAGCTCGGAAGGATGGAAGGCTGAGTCAACCTTGAGCCGGCTACCTGGGATTGCACATATCTGTTAAAATTATTATTTATCTAAAATTTACTAAGCAACTAATTAGCCAGTTTGGCCAGTCTTCCTCCACTTTGGCCACAACTCCTTCCAGAGTGGCACCTCAGCTGCTGGACAGTCTGAAAACTGACCCTTGGCCCTGCTCTTGCCTCCTGCTGGTTTAGGATCCTGAGAACAAGATTAATTTCTTCTCCAGCTTCTGTGGGATTGGATCCATGAACATGATGTTTGCCACACCTGCCTGACTCCTTTAATCAAGCCAGTCCAATGCAGAACTACAACTGACATGTTCAGCAAAATATATAAATATTTTGACTTAGACCAGTGGTTCTTAACCTTTGTTACTCGGATGCTTTTGAACTGCAACTCCCAAAAACCCCAGTCAGGTCAGCTGGTGGTGAAGGCTTCTGGGAGTTGCAGTCCAAAACTCCTGAGTAACCCAAGGTTAAGAACCAGTGACATAGACCATTGAAGCGTATTATATATGATGTACAGTGGTGCCCCGCATAGCGACGTTAATCCGTTCCAGGATTAACATTGCTATCCGGAATTGTCGCTAAACACAACTCCCAAAAACCCCAGTCAGGTCAGCTGGTGGTGAAGGCTTCTGGGAGTTGCAGTCCAAAACTCCTGAGTAACCCAAGGTTAAGAACCAGTGACATAGACCATTGAAGCGTATTATATATGATGTACAGTGGTGCCCCGCATAGCGACGTTAATCCGTTCCAGGATTAACATTGCTATCCGGAATTGTCGCTAAACAGAAAGAAAAACCCATTAGGAACACATTAAACTCTGTTTAATGCGTTCCTATGGGGGGAAAACTCACAGTTGAGCGAAGATCCTCCATCATAGAAACGCATTAAACTCAGTTTAATGCATTACTATGGGGGGAAACTCACAGTTGAGCGAAGATCCTCCGTAGCGCCGCCATTTTCGCCGCCTCAGTAAGCGAGGGCAGCGCGCGAAAACGCTGCAGGCGGCCATTTTGTGCACCCAGTGGCCATTTTGGAACCGCCGATCAGCTATTTAAAAAAACATTGCAATGCGATTTTCTGCTATTTAGATCATCACAATGCGATCGCAAAAAACACATCGCTATGCAAATTCGTCGTTAAACGGTGCGCTCGTTATGCGAGGCACCACTGTATTCATTTTTGAGGTATTGTTTGCCCAGTTTCGAGTCATAAACAGTTTTAGATTGGTTGTTGTGGATTTTCCGGGCTGTTTGGCTGTGTTCTTCCTAACGTTTTGCCAGTCTCTGTGGCCGGCATCTTCGGAGAACAGGAGTCAGAACTCCTGAGGAAGAAAAACCTTAAGATCATGGCCAAACAGCCCGGAAAGCCCACAACAACCATCAGATGCCAGCTGTGAAAGCCTTTAAGAATACAGTTTTAGATTGCTGTTTACGGTTGCTAATGCATAAAATCCATTCAGTTTCAAATAATGAAACAGACACAAAGGAATCCTTCATTGAGTTTTTTTAAATCTCAAATTAGACCCCTGATACTAAGCATTGTTTATTTGGTAGTGATTGCTGCCAGTTTTATTAGCATGTACTGTGTTATTTGCTGCCTAAGGAAAGAAGAGGGAAGGCAACAAGTAACTTTTACATCACACAGATTTTAGCTTCAAAGCAACCAGAAATTTTCTTTTGTATTTTATTAGCTCAAATTACTGCAAATTCATTTGATTTATGAAATCACCAGCAGGGGCTTAAGAGAAAGGTCTGTTGAACCTTTCTGCTTGAGTAGCAGTACCCTATGAAACTTTTGTCAATGGAAGAACCAACTCTGCTTTCATTTTGGGAATATGATTTATTTCATGTAAACCTACCAATCTTTTATTTTTCTTTCCTAGACAACTACTCGACATAAAGTCCTCGTTATGGAATTTTGTCCTTGTGGCAGTTTATATACAGTTTTAGAAGAACCATCTAATGCCTATGGGTTGCCAGAAGCTGAATTCTTAATTGTGTTGAGAGATGTTGGTATGTGGAAGTTATTTCCTTATGCACTGTTATGTCTTACGGCCAACTTAATTTGTTATTGTTCTGGGACTTGTACTGTGGACAATCCCAGTTTTGCTGTGACTTCATCCAACCCTTGCTGCAGTGCATACATCAAGCTGTACAGCAGTAGGTTCCTCCTAGTGGTAAAAGTTCTCTTCATTTATGCTGTGGAGTAAGTTAAAGTGCAAATGTTATGTCCCTATAGTCTGTCCAGTTCAAGCTTTGTATGCCAGTTGTTTCACCATTAGTTTCCTCAATATTAGATTGCTGCCATATGCTGAATATGCAGCTGCTTCTCAAGAATGTTCAGAAACTTCTGCTGGTCTCAATGTACTATTTATTGGAAAGACAGGAGTCAGATATCAGGATCATGTGTAGCCATTATGATGGAACTTTGTTGGCTTATTTTGGGTCTAAATCTCCTACCTTATCCTTTTAATGAGGAAAGAAGGCATCCTCCCCGCTCCCCTCAGATCCCATTGCCATCTGTCCCAGAGGATCTATAGCAGTAACCATGCTTTCGAATGCTATAAATGACCTCTCTAAACTTTTAAAAAATTATTGAATAGAGTAGTCTCTTTGAAGACATGGGAGCTGTGGAAGATTTCACACAGTAAGCGTTTGTCTGGAAGACTAACCTTTGCTATATGCATTCTTCTTCACTTAGCCTAAGTAGGCCAGTTTTATTTCCTCAGTTGCAGGGGCCTGTAGTTGTTTTTTTGTTTTGTTTTGTTTTATTGTAGCTACTCTGTGGCTGCCACTCACTGCCCTTGCCACATACAATCTCTGTATAGTTCAAGTCTTTTTCCTTACTTTGTTTTGAACTTATGTGTTCATATATCTAAAATCTATAAAAGTCAACTTCCTGCTTAAAACTTGATTTTTAAAAAAACTTATACAATTACTTTTCCAGCCATATATCTCTGGTTAAAACAGGTCCTTTGCCATATTTTTTTTTAATTTCAGTAATTGTGTATACACATCTAGGAGACTGAATCCAAGGAAGTATAAGTGCATTGAATAGTTATCAACAGTAATAAAGAGAGTTGCTTTTTATGGATCTGTTAGAAAATTATTATACAGCTGATTAAAGTCCAGTAATAGTAGTATATGGCTGCAGTCCTGCACCTGTATATGTGAAGCTTTAAGCTCCACTGTTCCATGAGGCTTACTTCTGTGTAGGCATGAGAATTGTGCTTTAAAGAATATCACTTGTTTTCTGAAACTTCTTTTCAATCAATAAGCACACAATCAAGATCCTAGGATGTTTGTTAATGTTACTACTGATATATGAGCTGATACTTAAGAAATTTATTTTTCTCTTCAATTTATCTCTTACGTTTAAGTGGCAGGAATGAACCATCTTCGGGAAAATGGAATAGTGCACCGTGACATCAAACCAGGCAATATAATGCGAGTTATAGGGGAAGATGGCCAGTCTGTTTATAAATTGACAGATTTTGGGGCAGCTAGAGAACTGGATGACGATGAGCAGTTTGTCTCTCTCTATGGCACAGGAGATGTTTTGTGGAGTCAGTACTATGACAACCATCCTAATTTATTTTTTAGATTGACTTTAGGTCTACAGTAACAAAGTATATTCAAATGTAGTAATAAAACACACAATATTACTTTAAGGCCAATGGAGGAAAATTGCTGCACAATATTTATTGTTGATGAGAGAAAAGCCAAAACCAAATTATATCATTTTTTAAAAAATAATTGCTGCAGATAAAACTTGTTGACTAAAATTCAGTATCTTAAAACCATGCTTTTTTTAAAAAAAGGCCCAGAATAGTGAGAAGAGTTTCATGTGGCAATAAAATGCCTCTCTGGGGAGGCATTCTGTGGTCTGGATGGCTTATTGAAAAGGCCCTTTCCCTGCTAGACATCAACCCTTATGTCAAAGCTGGGACTTTGAAGAGGATCTCAAGGTTTACATAGGTTTTAGTGGAGCTGTGTTTTTTGTAGTTGTTTTTAGTCCACTTCTGGTCAAAAATAGTGTAATCGTTTTAACATTTTAAATTTGCTTGAACTTAATATTTCATTTATGTCCATAAATTTAAATTTTGCAATGCTCTAATATGAATAAAGGAGAAAGTGGCCCTGTTTTGTTTTATGCTTGTTTATTCAATCCATAATGATTGGCAGGAAGATTCTTTGACCTTTTCCTATGAGCAGAAAGTATAAGGTTTACCCTCCAACACAAATCAACTTACTGAAGTTTTATGTTGAAGATATAAATTGAGGCAGTGAAATTTATGATCTTGATTAGTTGGCTTCTTTGAAGTGCATTTTACCACTGAAGTATTCTTTGGAAGAAAGCATTAATTCTTTAAGCCAGTACAATTTCGCCACTGTAACGCGCTCTACGTGGAGCTGCCTTTGAGGCTGATGCGGAAACTTCAGGTGGTCCAGAACACAGCGGCCAGACTCCTTAGTGGAGTGAGAAAATACCAGCACATTTCTCCTACTCTGGCCATGCTGCACTGGCTGCCCATCCGTTTCCGCATCGACTTCAGAGTTTTAATGCTTACTTATAAGGCCCTAAATGGTTTAGGACCTCGGTATTTGGCGGAATGCCTGCTCCTACTAAGATCTACCCAGATAACCCGTACGAGTCAGGAGGTGAGGCTAAGATGCCTGACACCGAGAGAGGCCCGGAAGGAGAAGACACGAAACCGGGCCTTCTCACCGGTGGCTCCTCGCCTCTGGAACAACCTCCCTCCGGAGATTCGCGCGGCCCCCCACGCTGGGCACCTTTAAAAGTCAATTAAAAACATGGCTGTATATTCAGGCCTTCCCTCCAGCTAATATCTGATTTTTATTTTTATTTTTCCTTTATTTATTTCTTCTGTCTTGTATTATATCTGTTATTGTATGATCTATGTAATATTTTGTGTTATTTTATTGTTTTATGTTATATTGGAAGCCGCCTAGAGTGGTCTTATAGACTAGATGGGCAGGGTACAAATCAAATCAAATCAATCAATCAATCAATCAATAAATGTATTCTAGGAAAGTTACTTTAGTTACTGAAGGTACAAATGTAGGGTGTATTGTGCTTTGCATTAGTTGTTCATGAATCAATTTATTCTTGTTTTGTTTACCTCTTCCACACCTGCTAGCATCCTGATATGTATGAACGAGCAGTATTGAGGAAAGAACATCAAAAGAAATATGGTGCAAGAGTTGACTTATGGAGCATAGGTGTGACATTTTATCATGCTGCAACTGGAAGTTTGCCCTTCCGGCCTTTTGAAGGGCCTCGCAGAAACAAGGAAGTGATGTAGGTAACTTAGGATAAATATCCTATGTGCAGTTTATTCTAACCAATAGGAATACCTAAATTTAAGACTTGAAGTAATCATACAGAAAATCTAAAGAATATTCTGCTGTATTGCTGCTGTGTTCTTCAGCACCAAATGACATACTGAATTGCTGCCATTTCCTTGTTCTTTATCTGATAATGTAACAAAATTTCTATTACGAAAGCCTGATAAATGTTGGTTTTTACAAACCTGCGGAAGGGATAATTTCTAACTGCACTAAGGGTAAATATAATCTGGAATATCTACCAAAGCATTGAAATTCTGTTTGATACTGACAGTGTTAACACATTTTTAATTTTTAAAGTAAGAGTGCTAACATGACAGGTAATTAAATGACTTTCAAAGAAAATATTATTTATTTGTGATTCTATAGATAACAACTGCAAAAGGCAATTTGAGCTAGATTTTAAAGGTTTGGATCCAAAGCTGAGTGAGTGACAGAGATCTTCATGGCACTGTGTTAACTAACTGACTCTACTTTAAACTGACTCACACAACCAGACATCTCTATTACATTCCAGTCACTCCCATCAATCAGCATACAGTCATTCAATTACCAATCACATTATCATTCTGCCTCTGGATAGACATTATACTGGCAATCAATAGTGTTCAAATACAAACTTGTATAGTTAATTAGAGATACACATATACATGGAGGTTTAAGAAAAGGCAGAATTGCCACAGGCCTACTCCAAAACAACATTCTTATCAATGTTTCCAGGGAATACCTAGTAACACTACAAAGATTTATCAGAGTTCTGCACTTTCAGATGACTAGTATGCATTCTGTCTTTATATTACAAAGGTATAAAATTATAACTGGAAAACCTTCTGGTGCAATATCTGGAGTACAAAAAGCAGAAAATGGCCCCATTGAATGGAGTCGTGATATGCCTGTTTCCTGCAGTCTTTCTAAGTAAGTCCATGAAACATTTGATTTATGCCAAAATAATCTGATGCTAAATAAATATTCTCCACTGTGATTGCTTGCACACTGGAAAATCCTAACAGGATTTTTGGCTACTGTGTAAAATTTAGAGTAATCAGATTGCAAGTGGGAAGGAAATAGCTAGATAAAGATGCTTCTTCTTGATAGAAGGAACATTCACTGTCTTCTAACTGAAAGCAGCCCAAGTATATTTATATGGTTGCATCTGTTTATTTTGTGTGTAATTTTTAGGGGCCTGCAAGTACTCCTCACCCCTGTCCTGGCAAATATTCTTGAAGCTGATCAAGAGAAATGCTGGGGTTTTGATCAGTTTTTTGCAGAGACGAGCGATATACTGCATCGGATAATCATACATGTCTTCTCTCTGCAACAGATGACTGCACACAAAATTTATATTAACATGCACAATAAGTAAGTACTCTATAGAGTCACATATTTATTCTTCCCTTAGCTAGAACTGCAGTCTGATAAGGTGATAGATCATATTTCTGCTTTTAAATCAAAGAGGTTTTCTTATTAATTCTGACATTTTTCTCTCTCATTTAATATTTTACCACGTTAGTACTGTACTGCATTTATTGAATGTAATCTTTTTATTTATATATTTTACAGTGCTGGCATGTTTCATGAATTAGTCTACAAACAGACAAAAATACCTGCACACAATCAAGAACTGATATACGAAGGCCGGCATTTAGTGCTAGAGCCCACCAGATTGGCACAAGCTTTCCCCAGAACTACAGAAGAAAACCCCATAATTGTAGTAAGCAGGGAGCCTCTAAACATCGTAGGATTACTCTATGAAGAAAGTATGATGGAGTCACTTTCTTTTTTCTCCCTTTAAACTGGTTATAAATATATACTAAAATAGCATTTCATTTCTAAATTCTTCAAGCAGCACAGTGTCTTGTTAGCTAGTTTGAATGTGTTGTAGTTACTTTTTATTGTTTGTAAGGTCATGTTAATCCTTTGCTGTTCTATCTCATTAACTGTCAACTGTAGAAATATGATAGCATTTTTCAAATAGAATATCTTTTACATCTGTGCAAATAAGTACCTTTTCCTCTTGTTGGAACAAATAATAGTTTGTGGGAACTGTTCATGTAATTATATGCAGGTTCTACTAAAACAAGTAGACTTTACATAAATGTAAATAGGGAATCAAGTTGATTCTGACTTATGGCAACCCTTTTTCAGGGGTTTCTGGATAGAGATTACTCAGAAGTGGTTTGCCTTTTTCGGGGGATGCCCTGGGATTGGGCAGCTTGCGCAGAGCCACACAGGCTGGCTTGTCTCCTAGAAAGGACAATGGGGAATCAAACTCCCAGCCTCTGGCTCTGCAGCCAGATACCTAAACCATTGAAATATCTAGCCATTTCATAGCCTTTTGGGCATATACATTTATATAAATTAAAATATTCTTGGAGTTCTTACCAAGCCAGAATTCTACTATAGAAGCTGATTAAAATTCAAAATAGCTATCGATTAGCTTGCCTTTTAATATCTACTTGGGAAATATTTCACTACATTTAATTCTGAAAGATTTTGGTGCAGTTTGCTACATGTTCTTGTGAGATTCTCATACATTTCCAAAAGCATTATACAGTGGTAATGCATGATGTTTACAGAAAAAGTAGAATTTGTATGAATGATTTGATCTGCAACTCTTTGCCCAATTATATGGGAAGCAGTGCCATTTAACTCAGTGGCCTGACTTCTGAGTTGACAAGCATAACATTGCACTAATAGGCTATAATCCTGTATTCCCTTAGTTAATAATCGATGCCTTTAAACTCATTACAACTTGATTCTGAATAGACATGCAGAAGGTTCTATTGCAAGTTCTGTGCCTTAAAAGTCCCTTCAGAATTATATTTCTTGCTTCTCTGAGATTTTAGTCTTATAGAAGATAGACCAGCAATTTCAACTATGCTATAAGCTTTAATACATCTTTGGAAATTAGAATAATAATATGCTTCTGTGGCTTCTATCCTTTTTGTATGTGAACAGCTGAAATGTTCTGGATACACTATGGATTATGAGAAAAGGAACAGTATGTCAGGAAAGCTTAGCAATTTCTGTATCATAACTACTGAACAATTTACATATTAGCTTTAACAGTATGAGCTGGAAAACCACATTCTACTTGCAGTGTATTTTTGCTTACTAGTATAATTAATTATTTATATCCAGTCCACAAAAAAATCTGCTGAAATCAGCTTTCAGCCTATAGTTTTTGTCTGGTCAGTTTAAGGAATGGTTTTGTTTTGTTTTATCTCATTTTCACTTGTCTTTATATTCCAAATGTTTAATTTAAAAACATATGTTCCAGTTCTGCTTCCCAAGGTCCATCAGCGGTATGATTTGGATAGTGACGCAAGTATGGCTAAAGTGAGTATCAAATCGTAAATGGGCACTTTTTTCTCAGAAGTGAAATATGTATCTGCTCTTCAGTTTAAGTAATAGGGCTAGTGAAAATGAGGGCCTTTTCACCACAGTAGATAGGAAGGCATAACAAGAAATTACCGTAGGCAGCTTAAAGGTACCATTAATGGGGACATTTATTTAAGATTTACACAAAGAATAGAGAGACATTATTAATGTCTTTTGTTAGTTCAAGAAGGATGAAACATTTTCAAGTAGAAATCAGAAGAGCAACATTCCATGCAGAAAACAATGACGTGCCTTAAAATCAGATGAGTTGTTACAGAACAGAAATTTTTCCATGCAAAGCAGATTATGATTCCACTAAACTCCTCTGAATAGATACAATCCCAAACAAATTAAATTAACTCTTTAAATGAAATCTCAGTGGCATGCAAAATCAAGACCTATGAAATGAGCAGCCACTTGAAATATTTATCTAGCACCACCTAAATTCCCTCCAGCTTTGATTTTTAGAAGCAACCCTAAAGGTTCTTGACTGTATGGCCGAAAAATCAAAATATGCTTAAAACAGAACTTTCAATATTATATCTACCTAATCCAACACAAGGATGTGACAAGCCTGTTCCCATAGGTCTGGATATATACTTTAGGTCCAGCAGAATCTCCTCCTAAATTCCAGATGGGGGGGAATCCCAGAAAGGCTCGGTAGAAAGTTCAATTGAGAGAAGGATGTGTCACGGAAAGGAAAAGTCCTCCTTTGGAAAAGGAAAAGGATCAGGAACCAAGATTTAGGGGAAATGTTAAGGAAAGAAATCAACATCTGTCAAGTATTGTGGTTTTTTGTTCAATTGACATCCCTAATGATTTCTTCTTCATTGGTGAATACTGTAACATGGTGAGGTCAAAACCTGTAGAGGCAGTTCTCTGTTTTCAGGGGGTGACGTAAGCCTAGGTACCATATCTCTGTATAAGGAACATCCCAGGCTCTATGCATTATATATCCATCTCCATAGTGGCCCATTGTTTTAGGCTCAAAGGAGCTGGATCAGCCCCATGACATTGTTCCCGGCATCCCATTTTCCAAGCAGCTAGTGTTTCCTCCTCTACATGGGAGCCATATATGCATCTGAGCCATCTTCTTGCCCCCTTTTTTTCTGGCTTGTTCCCCTTTTGAGCCCCCTGTTCTTCTGGATGAGGCCTAACAACTAGTGTCCGATTCAATATTTACACATGCAAAACTTCCAACTGTGGGAGGTGACTCATCACCAACGTCGTGTCAGATTGATACAGCAGCTTCCACAGTGGGAACTTTGTGAACAAATAAATATGGAACAGGGTACTACTGGCTTGTAAGTGTAAATAACTGTGTAAGTTACTTTTAAATGGTTATTTCTCCTATGGCAGTTACAGAAGTATAAAGAAGTAGCTGAACTGTTTGTGTTTATGTAATAACATGTTAGTCGTGAGATTTAGTTAACAATTACATTAAAGGTACTTTTTCAGGATTTCTGGAGGAGGAAATCAGTCAGATTCAACAATCCTTCATCACACAGAAGTCTCTCTTAAAGTATAAGAGAGGTTTGTTAGTGCAATGCCTAAAGCCAAATCTTTCCTTCTATTCAAGAGTTATGCTAGGTTCAGTATCTTGTGCCAACCAGCTAAAATGTATTCTTTATATCCGCTGTTGTTGTTTTCTGCCTTGGCAAATGATCTTTCCATTCCGTTGTCTCCATCACAAATGTTCAGAATATTTGGTTACAAAAAGTTTTATTAAAAATAATTGGCTTTTGGGAAAGCATAATTTATGGCCCTATGCCTTTTATTTGTCTTTCAGGCTGTGACAGGCGTTGTATGTTATGCCTGCAGAGTTGCTCGTGCTTTACTGCTTTACCAAGAACTCATGAGAAAAGGAACCAGATGGTTAATGTGAGTTCTGTCATTGCTTCAGTCTTGTTGAATGTCATTTCCGAGGCATTGGTACTGACCTGGGTAATCAGAGTGTCAATTTGAAAAGTGAAGAGCCTTGAAGAGATTTGTGCTCAATATATATCTATCAAACTGTAGACAAACCTGTGCATTAATTGAATTATATCCCTTGTCCCAAAATCAGTAGAGTTTATAGTGTGTCACAGTTTTCAGTTAATCAAAGGAAACTGTTGAACCAAATATTTATGAATCATTGGCTAGATCCAGTCAGTCATAACTGGAATGGACTGATCAAATCAATGGGGGTTAGACTAGTTATGATTGAACTTCCATTAATTTCAAAGGGTTTTCTCCAACAGAATCTAAAAATGTAGAGAACATGTAAGCTTTCAAGCCTTGTCTGTGTGACGGTACAATGTTAACCATGTTTACTCAGAAGTCAGTTTTGCTCAGTTTAAGGGAGCATGCAGCTTAAGAATTTTATTTGGAATTGCAACCCGGGGTCTATTTAGAATGTAGTGCTTTTACATGAAAAAGTAAATGTTTTGTCAGTACTGACTTGAACAGTTCATATTCATTTTTAGTAGGCAATTGAGAATTAATGTAAGCATTTTTATAGAAGATCATACAGATTAAGTTGCTGTCTATATAGTATCCATATATTATATAATGAACATTCTTCTAGATTTTTGTAATCTCTCAGTATTTTTCTTTTCTAGTGAAATTATCAAGGAAGATTATAATGAAACATTTCACAAAAAGACGGTGGTTGTTATCAAGCTGGAATTTTGTAACAGAAATATAGAAAAAGCTGGGAAGATGTGAGTTGAGTTGCTCTTTTTACTTTCTTGGGTAGGATGTGAACATCTTCTTCCAAGTCAGTGAGGGCTATAGTTTTTCTTAATGACTTTCACTCATTAAGAAGAACAGTAATTGACTCATTGGCTGAAATCCTGTTGCACAGTTCGACATGCCCAACAGTGATTATCTCATCATCAGTGACAAATTGCCACTGATTAAAGACTTCCTTTGGAGATTCTGGGCAAATGTGACTTTGTTGATTTATGTGTACATCACGTACACCCTATATTGCCTTTATTCACCATTTGCCACTCCTGATGACATCATCATCATTATGCACACGGAGCTGCACAGCAGGATTTTAGACATTGTAGATGAATGTTGTAAACAGAAAATTCTGTTTTGGGGATCTGCTGTTCAATTGAGTAAGTGTAATTGCTCTTTTTTGTGGTGATATGGATCAAGCTGTAGGCTGCTGTGCCCTAGTGTTTTGCACAAAGTATTCACCTAAAGTCATACCAGTGGGCAGCTTTAGCCTTCCAAAAGCCTTAGGCTACAGGTCCTATGACCCCTTACCACTGACCGTAGTGGTTGGTGCTTTGGGGAAGTAAAGTCCACAATATCTGGTGTCCCAAATATTCCCTATCATTGAATGTTTATACAGCTGTGATAGGGTGGAGTGATTGGTTCTTTTGTAATTATTGCAGTATCTTCTGCTTGGGAAACCTGTTCTGCAGTGCTTTGACTTGCAGCCCACTTAACTTGAATCAGCTTGTGCTAGATGTATTTTTATAAACAGTATTGGAGATGGATTTAATCAGTGTTTTCATAGTCTTGACACAATCCCTTGAAAAATTCTTTAATGACAGCTTGAGTCATCTTCCTTCCTACTGTACATTATATCCTTTGTAAATCAAGAAACCTAAAGCTAGAAAGCAGTAGGTGAGATCAAGAAGTATCATCAGCAACAAAGGGTAATTGTTTATACTGCTATTTTTGAAAAAACAAAATATGTTGCAAAGGTCTTTGGGAGTATTATCCTTTCAGGTTCAATCAACTCTGAAGGAAGATTGAATTTCTGAAGCTAATGTGTATAAGGTTCATGAATGCAATGAAAATACTCTGCTCTCCA